ATAGCCCTGTTCTTACCCAAGGCTAAGCCATGGCAAAGTAAGATTTGAATGTATCCCTCTCCACCTTCCTTTTTATTGTGATTAGTTAGTTTATATCTCACCTTTCTCCCCAATGGGGATCCAAAGAGGCTTACATTGTTCTTCTCTGTGTCATTTAATCTTCACTACAACCCTGTGAGGTAGGTTGCGCTGAGAGTGTGTGACTGGCGCAAGGCCACCCAGCCAAACTTCCATGGCAAAGTGGGGAATTCAACCCGGGTGTCCGGGTGAGGGACACTGTCAAATGGTTGGCAATGTTTATGTGGAACCTCAGTCCGATCCGGAGCAGCTCTCCTTATGTCATTATCCATTTCCCCCCTACGTCATTTAGAACAAGTTCATCCTGTTATCAAAAGCAATTTATTTTTCTGAGGGCTACATTCCTGAGAGTATCCTCTCGCTCTCTCCCTGCTCGTCTCCTGTCAATGATCGCCCGTCTTTCCAGTATAAGTAATATGCCGCTTCAGTAAGGATGCCAGCCTCCAGGTGGGACCTGGGGATTCCCCGGAATTAAAGCTCATCTTCAGACCACAGAGAACAGTTCCCTCGGAGAAAATGGATGCTTTGGAGGGTGGACTCTTTGGCATTATACCCCAGTGAGGTCCCTGTCCTCCCCTGGCTCCATCCCCAAATCTCCAGGAGTTTCCAAACCTGGATCAGGCAGCCCTACTCCCCAATCCCCCAACAGTGGCCGGGGGAGCTGGCAACCCTTCACATTTATTTATTTCCAAGGCCTTTTTTTGTAGAAAAAGCCCAGCAGGAACTTATTAGCATACTAGGCCACACCCAGCAGCAGAAACTCATTAGCATATTAAGCCACACCCCTGACATCACAGCTCATTAGCATATTAGACCACACACCCCATGTTACCACACTCACCTTTTGCTTCTTATTCTGTTTACTCTGTTGTCCGAACCCTGGGCTTTTTCTGCTGTTGGGTGTGGCCTGTTATGCTAATTAATGCCTGCTGGGCGAGGCCAACTCAGGTCCAGCCGGAACTCCGTTCCTGTGCGTTCCTGTCCAAAAATAGCCCTGATTTATTTCTATTTACGTATTAAAACATTTATGCTCGTGGCTCAAGGCAGCTTACAATAATAGTTAAAAAGATTGTTTGAGTCCAGTGGCACCTTTAAGACCAGCAAAGCTTTATTCGCGGTATAAGCTTTCGCGTGCACGGACACTTCTTCAGATACATTAAGTTAAGAACATTGTCGGTGACAACCAGAACTAAAATCGCAAATGCCACATCTCTTTCCCCCCCACCCCCCTTTGAAAGATGCCTGCCAATTCACACCCCCTCAAAAGCCCTAGCAAACAAGCAGGCCTTGCAGCACTTCCTGAAGATCTCTGAGGAGGGCCCCGCCCCATATCTCTTCAGGAGGCCCAGTCCACAGAGCTGGATCCCTGACAGAAAAGGCCCAGGCTCTGGTTGATGCCAGTTGGGCCATCTTGAGTGGCATAATAGCCCATCGATGGGTGCTTGATTGACTGTAGTGGATGCAGAGAGATTTATGGAAGGGCCAGTTTGGTGTAGTGGTTAAGTGCGCAGACTCTAATCTGGGAGAACCGGGTTTGATTCCCTACTCCTCCACTTGCACCTGGCTGGATGACCTTGGGCAAGCCATAGTTCTGATAAGAGCTGTTCTTGAAAAAGAGCCGTTTCTGTCAAGAGCTGCGGGGTATAAATCCAATCTCTTCTTCTTCTTCACATTTATAGTATTTGCTATTATTTATCATATTTGTATATGCTGCTTTTCTCCATGAAGGGTCCCAGTGTGACTCACAGAAAACAACCAATACACAGTTTTCCAAATAACAGCATTAAACAACATACAAGAAGAAGAGTTGGATTTATACCCCGCCCTTCATTTGGAGTCTCAAAGTGGCTTACAGTCTCCTTGCCCCTCCTCTCCCCACAACGTACACCCTGTGAGGCAGGTGAGGCTGAAAGAGCTCTGCGAAAATTTGATCTTGAGAGAAAAGCTCTGAGAGAACTTGTAACTGACCCGAGGTCACTGAGCTGGCTGCATGTGGAGGAGTGGGGAATCAAACCCAGCTCTCCAGATTAGAGTCCCCTGCTCCTAACCACTACAGCAAACTGACCCTCCAAAAGAAATGGCTCCCTGGCTGATCCTGAACAAAGGGGCTGCCTACCTGCAAGCCATGGGCTCCCCCAGGCTCATACTTCCGGCCCTGCCGAGGTTTTAAATATCTGCAAGAAGAAGACAAAGTGCACTTTCACATGTGCTGAATAATGTACTTTCAACCCACTTCCAATGCACTTTAGCTATCATTGGCAAGTGGGTTTTGCCGTTTCACACAGTAAAATCCAGTTGCAAAGTGCATTGTCCAGCAGGTGTGAAAGTGCTCCAACTTGGTTGTGTGTGCTAAGTGCTATCAGGTTGCAGCCAACTTAGGGTGACCTCCAGCAAGGTCACCCCAAGTTGGCTGCAACTTGACAAGTCCAGCGAGAAGCAGAGGTGGTTTGCCATTGCCTTCCTCTGCAGAGTCTTCCTCAGTGGTCTCCCTTCCAAGGACTGACTTTGCTTAGCTTCTGAGGTGTGATGAGATTGGGCTATACCATGCCGTCTTCCCTCCGGAGACAAACTTAGCCTGGAAAGCACTCAGCCACTTGCACTAGGAGAACCGGATCCGATTCCCCACTCCTCCACATTCAGCCAGCTGGGAGACCTTGGGTCAGTCATAAGTTCTTTCAGAGCTGTTCCCTCAAGGGCAGTTCTCGAAAGAGCTCTCTCAGCCCCACCCACCTCACAGGGTGTCTGTTGTGGGGAGGGGGAGGGAAAGGAGATTGTGAGCCTTTGCAGGTGGTGGAATAAGATTGACAATTGACTTCTAAGAAGGTTTGAGTCTATCCTTTCCTTCCTCTAAGGTGGCGGTGACTTGGGGCGACCCTGTAGGGTTTCCCAGCCAGGAGACATGCAGAGGTAGTTTGCCATTGCCTGCCTCTGCATAGCAACCCGGGACTTCCTTGGTGGCCTCCCATCCGAGGACTCACCAGGGCCGACCCTTCTTAGCTTCCGAGATCTGATGAAATTGTCTAGATGGGGCCATCCAGGTCAGGTTCCTCTAGGGAGCTCAGGGCAAAATGCCCTGGTTGGTCCCCCCCTTTTATTCTCACTACAGCCTGGTGAGGTGGGTTAGGGTTAGACAGGGCTTTTTGGGTAGAAAAAGCCCAGCAGGAACTCATTAGCATAATAGGCCACACCCAACAGCAGGAACTCATTAGCATATTAGGCCACACCCTGCCAGCACAGCTCATTCGCATATTAGGCCACACCCCCATGTTACCAGAAGTGTGGTCATCCAGCCACAACCACCTTTCCCTTCTTATTCTCTTTACCTTGTTTGTTGTCAAAACCCAGGGCTTTTTGCATGTTAGGCCACACACCCCTAATTGTAGCCAATCCGAATGAGTTTCTGCTGTTGGGTGTGGCCTATTATGCTAATGAGTTCCTGCTGGGCGTGGCCAACTCGGGAGCCAGCCGGAACTCCGTTCCTGTGCGTTCCTGCCCAAAAATAGCCCTGGGGTTAGAGAAAATAACCCGAAATCACCCACAGAGCTTTATTGGTATTCGAACCCAGGCCTCCTTGGTCCGAGGGCAGCACTGAACGTTGTCTAGTGGGTCTTCCTTCTGAGTTGATGGATGCTGGATTACAGCTGGAGCGGGGGCCAGTCCCTAACTGTGGGCAGTGTTTCCTTTAAGCTGAGCTAGTGTGAGTTAGCTCACAGTTTCTTAGCCCCCAACTCACAGATTTTTGTCTTAGCTCAGGAAGGATGGCTCCAGGGCAAACTCCTTTTTGCAGCAGCCAAATCGCTCCCTCACAACTTTTAATGCCAGTCGCTCACAAAGTAGAATTGTTGCTCACAAGACACCACGGCTTGGAGGGAGCATTGACTGTGGGTAGGCTTGCCAACTGCCTTGAAGGAAAAAACTGCCCTAACAGAGGGTAATGGGATGTAGCCAAGAGAACAGCCCCTTAGGATCCAAGCCTCTGAGGGAACAGGGTTTTATTTATTTTATTTGCTTTATAGTTTGTCTTTCTCACTGAGACGCAAAGCAGAGCACAGGGTTTTTTAAGCAATGGAATACTAACAGTGTAAGCCATATAATAGAAAAGGGAGTAAGATTAGCCTACAAAGTTAGACAATTATTTGATTTTATTTACGTCATTTCTCACTTGGACTCAAGGTGGATCACATAGTAAGTCAATAGAGTCATCAGGATGGGGTACCAACAGAACTGTGCAAGAGGAACTGGAGTTGTAGGTTACTACAGTATCTGAGGAGGGATTTGCCTCCATAGTGATACTTTTAGGCATTTCTTCATATCTCTAAGGGCTTCACCACAGAGATGAGAGGAAATTCCTAAAGTGTCGCCTGAAAGTGAAGTCACATCCCCCCCAGAGTCCACCCTTCCCAGGCACCACCTTCAAAGTCTCCCGGCATTTTCCTAGGCACTGCTGGCAACCCTAGGTATTGTTTTGCATACAGAAGGTCTCAAGGTCAGTCCCTGGCATTTCTGATCAAACAGGATCTCAGGGTAGCAAGCCTGGGGAAAGACCTTTCTCTGAAACTCTGGAGGACCACTCGCAACAGTGAGCGAGGGGGACCAATGATATATTACTATTTGCCCTCCTGTGGAGGGTAAACCCCTGCTGTCATTCCCAGTCCCCCACCCTTAAGAAACTGAGGGGAGAGAGAAAACATGATTGGAAAATGGCCTCCCTAGTGATTGGTGGTCTTGGAATTTTTCCCATGCATTTATCATAGAGATCAGGGGAAATTCCTAGAGTGCCTCTTGGAAGCGACATCACATCTTCCTCAAACTCCACCCTCGAAATCTCTCACTGTTGGCTGAGGCATTACTGTCAATCCTAACCCATGGTCTGACTTGATATAAGGCACTTTCTGATGTGTATTCTTTTTTTTTTGCCACAGCAAATGACACGAGGGAAAGTGGGAATGAGGACGAGAAATGTCAGTCCCCAAGATCTGAAGAAAAAGGAGCACAGGGGACACTGACAGGAAGAGGCTTACAGCAAAATTGTGAGCAGAGAGAAACCTCAGAGAGGCCCCCGGGAAGCCACTCCACCATCTCTTCTGCGGACACAGATGCAAAGTCAGCCCAAAAAAGCATCAATGATAAGAAAGACACAGAGTCCAGAGAAACACTCAGCCAGAACTCAGGCCAGAAAAGCCTTCAGCGTACCTGCACAGAAGAGAACCCACAGGCATGTTCGGACTGTGGCGAAACCTTCAGTGACGGGCCCAGCCTTCTTGCGCACTTCAGAACCCACGCGCGAGACAAACCATACAAGTGCTTGGAATGCGGGAAGAGCTTTAATAAGAAGTCGCACCTGAATAACCACCAGACGATCCACACTGGAGACAAGCCGTTCAAGTGCTCAGAGTGTGGGAAGGCCTTCCGGGTCAGCTCCTTCCTTACCCTGCATCAGAGAATCCACACGGGCGAGAAGCCATACGTGTGCCTGGACTGCGGGAAAGCCTTCCGGGTCAAATCAAGCCTCAGCTCCCACGAGCGAACCCACACAGGCGAGAAACCATACAAATGCTCCCATTGTGAGAGAAGCTTTAGTGTGAGACCTAGCCTTGTCGCCCACGAGAGAATCCACACGGGAGAAAAGCCCTACGAGTGCTTAGAGTGTGGCAAAAGCTTCCGGCGGAGCTCTGATCTCTTCATTCACCAGGGTAGACACACCGGTGAGAAGCCGTACCAGTGTACGGTCTGCGGGATAAGGTTTGGAGAAACGTCAAAACTCATCACCCATTACAGGATCCACACAGGAGAGAAACCGTATAAATGCTCAGATTGTGGGAAGAGCTTCACCCTAAGCTCCTACCTTAATAGTCACCAGAGAATCCACACTGGCGAGAGGCCCTACGAGTGCTCCGAATGTGGGAAAACCTTCAGGGTGAGCTCGTGCTTCAGGAAGCACCAGAGAATCCACACAGGGGAGAAACCTTTCCAGTGCCCTGTCTGTGGGAAAAGCTTTGGTGTAAGCTCACGCCTCAATGCACACATGAGAATCCACAGCGGAGAGAAACCGCATAAGTGTTCGGTCTGTGGGAAAGCGTTCGGCACGAGGTCAAACCTTAGCAGGCATCAGAGAATCCATATCGGAGAGAAACCAGACGAATGCTTGGTCTAAAATTTCTGGGGAAGCTCCAGCCTCCTAGCTCTTGAAAGGACCCACACCCGAGAGAAGCCAAACAGATGCCTGGACTGGGGGGGGGGGGAGAGAATCTGGAAAAGAGACCATGTAACTCAAAGAGAAAACTAAAGGCACAAAAAGGCATGCCGGAGAATCAGGAGATAAACCAAATCAATATGGGGCCACAAACAAAAATGAAAAAGCCTTCCGTAAAAGAAGAAGAAGAGAAGAGATTGGATTTATACTCCCCCCTTCACAACCCAAAGGTGTCCAGAGCGGCTTACAACCTCCCTCTCCTTCCCCTCCCCACAACAGACACCCTGTGAGGGAGGTGGGGCTGAGAGAACTCTAACACAAACTGCTCTTTTTCAAGGACAGCCCTTATCAGAACCATGGCTTGCCCAAGGTCATCCAGCCAGGTGCAAGTGGAGGAGTGGGGAATCAAGCCCGGTTCTCCCAGAGTAGAGTCCGCGCACTTAACCACTACACCAAAAGGCAGGTTCATTAGCGAGGAGGCCATGGCTTAATGGTCGAGCATCTGCTTGGCATGCAGAAGGTCCCCGATTTGAACTTCACCTCCAGCTAAAAGTATATAGTAGTTGGTGATGGGAAGGGCTGAGACCCCGGAGACCCACTGCCAGTCTGAGTCGCTCGATAGAAAGGGGGTCTGATTCAGTATAAGGCAGCCTCATGTATTCACTGCGTGGCCAGATTTGAAGTGAACCGGAAGGGGAGGCCGAGTGTCATTGTTAAAATCCCGAGGATCACGGCCCAGGACTTCTCTCTTGAATGTGTCTGTGTTTTTTATAGGGGTGGATACCGAAGGACCAATGAACAGACTTATTGCGTATAAGAAGTCGGGTTCATCTGCTTCTCTGCTGAGCAGGTCCAAAGACAGGGCCTTTTAGTTGAGCCAGAAAAACAAACAACTGTCTAGTCTATAGCCTACAGCCCATTTCTTGTACATTTCTATGACGATAATCAGAATTTTAAGCAATTAGCGAAGAGGGTCTAGAAACTAGATGCAGAATGAAGCATCCTGGGAAACTCAGTTTTAAGGTTCCCTTTTTAAAAAAACAACAATAAAGCACGTTTCTGTCCTTTACACTTTGAAGCTATGCCGGTGACGCCTGGTAAAAATCTCAGCCATTTGAGTGGAGCTGGGGTGATCAAGGTGTCAAACTGGAAGAAGAAGAGAAGAGATTGGATTTATACCCCGCCGTTCACTACCCAAAGGAGTCTCACAGCGGTTTACAATCTCCTTTCCCTTCCCCTCCCCTCCCCACAACAGACACCCTGTAAAGTAGGTAGGTCTGAGAGCACTCTTTCAAGAACTGCTTGTGAGATAACAGCTCTGAAAGAACTTGTAACTGACCCAAGGTCACACCAGCAGCTGCATGTGAAGGAATGGGGAATCAAACCCCGTTCTCCCAGATTAGAGTCCGCGCTCCTAAGATTAGTGCTTCCAGCACTAAAAATTACACCAAGAAGAAGCTGATTGACAGAACAGGTTTTTGCATATCTGTAATTCACTCAGCCCCACTGCTTAATTTTGTTTGACTAGGGATCCTTGCTGTTGTTGTTTTTTTAATCAAACCTTGTGATTTGCTTGCTGACTGACTGAATCCTTCTTTTGTAATCTGCCTTGAGTCCCAGTGAGAAAAGTGGGCTGGAAATGAAGCCAATCATCATCCTTATCTATGCTGGGGTCCCACTGACACCATTGGAATGCTGACACGGAGTGGTTGGGTGCAACTACAAAATGGTTGCCATAGGAGGAGGAGCCAATCACAAAATGGCTGCCGTGGGAAGCAGAGCCACGCACATCAACACATATAGAGAGGAAGCCCAAGTGCAGGTCACTTCCTGTGGCAGGGAATTCCATGTGTTGATCACTCTTTGGGTGAAGAAGTACTTCCTTTTATCCGTTCTAACCCGACCGCTCAGCAGTTTCATGGAGTGCCCACGAGTTCTTGTATTGTGAGAAAGGGAGAAAAGTACCTCTTTCTCTACCTGCTCTTTCCCATGCATAATCTTATAAACCTCGATCATGTCTCCCCTCAGTCGTCGTTTCTCCAAGCTAAAGAGCCCTAAGCGCTTTAACCTTTCCCTTTTGGGTTCTCTGGTTCAAATCCTGAATGAGTCATGAAACTTCCCGGGTGGCTGGTCCCATCATGTGCACTCAGTCTCTCTGTCTCTCGACCTGGTGTACATTCCAAGGAGGGTTGAGAGGACAGGGGATAGGTATCTGAGCTTCTTGAGGGTTAGGGTGGATCTATTTTCATTTTTATTTGGCCGTCAACCGTAGGGTTTTCAAGGCAAGAGACGAACGGAAGTGGTTTGCCACCGAATGACTCCGCATAGCAACCCTGGACTTCCTTGCTGGTTGACCACCCGAGGGCCAACCCTGCTCCGCTTCTGAGCTCTGCTGAAATGGGGCTAGCCTGGCCCAGCCAGTGACAGGGCAAGGGCAGAATACCAATGTAATAAAACCAATATTGGGGGCCCCTGGAGATTTCCCAGAATCACAACTGATTTCCAGACCACAGAGATCAGTTTCCCTGGAGAAAACGGCGACTCTGGAGGGTAGACGGCGCTATGCCCATAACCTCCAATGAGGCTCCTCCCCTCCTCAAACCACACGCTTCCCAGATCTGGCCACCCAAATCTCCAGGAATTTTGCAACCCAGAATTGGCAACTAAGAAGAAGAGATTGGATTTATACCCCGCCCTTCACTCGGAGTCTCGAAGCAGCCTACAAACTCCTTTCCCTTCCCCTCCCCACAACAGACACCCTGTGAGGTGGGTGGGGCTGAGAGAGCTCTTTCCAGAGCTGTCCTTGAGAGAACAGCTCTGACAGAACTATGGCTTGCCCAAGGTCATCCAGCAGCTGCAAGTGGAGGAGTGGGGAACCAAACCCGGTTCTCCCAGATTAGAGTCCACGCACTTAACCTCTACACCAAACTAACAATAAAGCACCTGGGAAACCTTCCTAAAAGCAGCAGCATCTACTTTGAGAGTGTCATCCCACAACATCCAAGGTCACCCTCTCAGAACCCTTCCGGAAGAACAGCTCTTTCCCACTGAGGAAAGCTCCCAGCCTTTCGGCCAAGTGACCATCACAAAGCCAGCCATTCAGGAGGACGAGATTCGTGAAAAGTGATGGGGACACCCATAGGGAACCTTGGAAAGAAAGGACCTCCTCGAGAATAAGTTAGAGGAGGAAGGAATTGGGGATGGCCAGGAGAGGGGGGGCGTGGCCCCAGCAGGAGGAAGTGGGTGACTGGCACAGGCTGGAAGCTGAGGAGGAGCGTGGCCAGGCTGGGAGTCCTTCCATTCCACTGAGAACTGAGAGGCAGGATCCGTGCCCAGGTATACGGCTGGCAGTGTTCCCTCTAAGCTGAGTTTGTGTGAGCTAGCTCACAGTTCTTTAGCCTCTGGCTCACACATTTTTGTCTTAGCTGGGGAAGGATGGCTCCAGAGCAAACTAATTTATGCAGCAGCCCAATCGCTTGCTCACAACTTTAATGCCAGTGGCTCACAAAGTAGAATTTTTGCTCACGAGACTCCACAGCTTAGTGGGAACATTGATGGCTGGTAGCCCTTCCTGGGGCCTTGAGAGCCCAGGCGCCCCAAGTCTTCCCTCTGAAGGAAAATGGCAGTTGCCGAGAACTGTGCCTCAAAGGACTATGGGAAGGGCCCCTGCCTGAAGCCGGCTCAGAACATGGGTTGAAGCAGGGGGAGGATGGGAGAAGGGGCCTCCTTTGAATATGTACCTAGAGTTGCCTGTGGGTCTCTGTGGGCTGGCCAGTTTTCAGGACAACCATAGAATCATAGAGTTGGAAGGGACCTCCAGGGTCATCTAGTCCAACCCCCTGCACAAGCCAGGAAATTCACAAATACCTCCCCCTCCACACCCCCAGTGACAGCTGTTCCGCGCCCAGAACCATTCACACAGAGGCCAGTGTAGGTTTGAGGGTTCAATAACGACACAACACACAGATCTGTTGAAGTTCTCTGACCAAGTTCTCAGTTCTCTCTCCGTCTGTCTCTCTCGAACTGCCTGTCAGCGGCGTTTTATTAGAGCAGGCTCACACATTTCTCTCCCCTGCCCTGCACTACACAGTGAAAAGGTTACTAGAAGACTCTAACTAGGATCACAGTATATTCTTAACAGAATGTTCTTTACGCACAGCTCATCTTATCTTGCCCGACTGTAGCCAAGTTTATACTCTCAGCAGACTCAGCAGGCTTTGTGCACTAATATCCAATCTTCCTGTGGGAACATTGACATTCCGGGCATGCCTCTCAGAAAATCGCCGTTCCCACAGGCCAGCAGGTTTACTAGAATTTACGGTAATATGTAGATAACATTTTTAAAAATAATAATGAAATATGACCAGCCTTTCTCTGGGTATGTGGGGGTGATATAACCAGACTTATACATATTCTTAATTGTTCATTAGAAGAGCAGGGCCAAGTGGAAGAGTATTTGTGTGGGCAGGAGACTCCAGCGATCTCCTTGACTCTGATGGTTTCTTCCAAGGTTCCTTACAGGGGAAAGGCAGGCTGTGTGCTCATGCGCTGAAAGGCTACCGAGCAGGTTCCATATCTAAACAGGCTCTCTCCTCTCACAAATGAAAAACCTCTGTGCATGTTCAGAGGCACTCTTCCCTCTTAAATTGCCATCTCAGTGGTAAGGTACTCTGTTCATCTGCTCAGCAGCTATCAGCGGAAGGTGCCACACAAAGCCAGAGCTACCAATTTGACCATGGCCAGACGTCATACACACATCTATCCAGATGTACAGCATTCAGCTGGAATTCCAGCTGTTACCACAATCCCAGAAAGACATGAATATTACATTCAGATTAACATGGGAAATAGCTTGCGTGTTTGGGCAGGGTGCAGAAAACAGATC